AAAGAAGATGGATGTAGATGTTTTGATAAGCATGCCAAATTCCACCATGTGCTCTTTCTAAAAAACAAAATGACCTCAAAGGCTGAGCAATGAGGCCAATATTATGCAAAACAGAAAAGTACCACCTAGTGGCTACAGAATGAACTGAGGGGTTGTTCCTCAGGTCAGAGCCATCCCAACCGCCATCCCACTAACATGGCTAAAAAATAATTTGTACAATAAAAAACACACTGTAGGATTAAGTGATATGTAGCGGTGGAGTTGCACATTTCGACTCTCTCGCCTCACAACTGTGTAGGACAAACTACAGTGCCCGGGAAAAACGCAAAAGGCCCTATCTACAGCCAGTAGATAGGGCTGAACATGGCAGTTCAACATGACTACCTAGAAGAGGACCCAAGAAACAATTCTTATTTTCAGGTGATTATATACTAATGAAACATACATATATGATATTCCATTTCTGGTAATAGATCCTCCTAAATGTTACACACTGGACCTTTGACTCTTTAGTACATGTACATGCCTTGCTGTAGTGATAATGCCAAAAGGCTGTAAAACCGAGCAAAAAGAACTATGGGCTAAAACGATTAAACGACTGGAATGTAATTTTCTTTAGATTGTCTAAATTGCAGGTATATTCCAAAACAGTTGGTTTTGCAGAGGAGGTTGGCCTTCAGGTTATGAGTTCAGAGGGTTGCTGATCCATACTAATTTGCTTGTTGAAGTTTCTCTGCCTCTTACACAAGCAAACACACACACACACACACTCTTGCCTTTTCAACTGCTCAATGATGGAAGTTGTGGCAAGAAACACTAACCATAAAAGCTTCTTTGCCCTATGTTCTACAAACTTGTATAGAATGAGATAGGTAGCAGACAGAGGTCAGTAAAGGTCATACATTGCTTAATGTCCCTTGAAATTAACAAATTTTATGAAATATCTATATTTATATTCTCTGTTTAACTCCCTCATGCAGTACACCCGTGGAATCAGTCTTATTTTACGCCATCACCACACTACACAACCTGCTACTGCACCAGGAGGGAGCCAAGATGGCGGTGCGTCTTGCTGACGGCCTGCAGAGGATGGTCCCCTTACTGAAAAAGAGTAACCCCAAGTTCCTTGCCATCACCACTGACTGTCTGCAGCTCCTGTCCTATGGCAACCAGGAGAGCAAGGTGAGGACAGGACATAGAGGGCTGCAGGAATAAGTCCTAAAACCGAGAATTGTTGTTATCCTTGCCCTTCTGGTTCCCTCTCCTGGAAGTTAATGGGTTTTTGAATTGGTTTTTAAATAGACGCCTTAAATAAGGTCTGTGGTTGGAGCTTAAGAGATGTTTCAAGTTTTGTTCTGTGACATAAGGTAAATACCCCACCTGTGAATTTTGAAGCTTTTTATGTGTCTTAAAAGGGCGGTTGTTAACAAGTGGCTAAATGAGACTACAGAGGTTGTTAGAAACTTATCTCCTCACTAGTCCACCTTTACAGCCTGTTGTGTTTATACTCGCTCTCTTGCAAACTATTCTAACTCAATCTTTACAACTTATACATTTCAATTCAAGTTCAGTGGTGGTAACGCTTGAACGTCAGTGTAGTTTGATTATAGCACCAGCCTTTTACTTCTGATTGCATTTACGCTCGTGGAGTTCATTTATGATGATTATCTTGCTGACCAAAACATCCCATTGGCTTTTTGTTGAAGACAATGCTAACTTTCAGGTTGGGCAATAAAAATATGTAATCTCTGCAGCACTGTATTGGGTAGGAGATCCTTGTTGTGTCCACTTATTTATTAAAGAATTACACCTCCTACTTTGTGTTTCTTGTCAGTTGATCATCCTAGCCAATGGGGGCCCAGAGGGTCTGGTGTTCATCATGAGGAACTACAACTATGAAAAGCTACTGTGGACCACCAGCCGTGTTCTGAAAGTATTGTCTGTCTGTCCCAGCAACAAGCCAGCGATAGTAGAGGCTGGTATGTCCACATCACTGAACACAAATGTAGAACATTCAGTGTAAATGTTTGTACTGTATGTAACTGTATTCTTGCCTCTGTGTTTAGGTGGTATGCAGGCTTTAGGCCAACATCTTACAGGTTCCAGTCAGCGTCTGATCCAGAACTGTCTGTGGACACTCCGCAATCTGTCAGATGCTGCAACCAAACAGGCATGTATTGATTCACCCACTACTCCTACTACTCCTACTCCTACTCCTTCTACCACCAATGCAACTACCACTACTACTAGTACAACAAATATTGATTCCAGTGCTAGGCATGCAGGATACAACCTGTGATTTGCTGCTCTGCTGTGTTACTACTAACCGTGCTGTGTGGAGAAGGCTGTACTTAAGACAAACTGTCTCCAGCGGCGGTCTTTGCTCCAATAACATTTGAGTAAACTTTCTCCTTTCCTGTACTTAGATATGCCATGTGCTAGGCTCAACATGGCGGCGTCCATTGAAGGTGACCCTCAGTATCTGCAGTAGATCCTCTTAAATGGACTTGGACTTTTAAGTTAACTAACGTTGGCAAAATGCTAGCTAACTAGCTGGCCAATAGTTTGATGTGACTTTATCTTATCTTATTATGTCTTTTCCATATCTAAGTACAGGAAAGGAGAACGTTGACTTAGGTTCTGACCCAGGCTTGCTCAATTGTTATTGGGGCACAGAGCAAAATGGGTCAATTAGTAGGGGTTCCATTAAGTTTTGCCCATAAAGTGTATTAAATCACACTCAATTCAATTAAATTCAATTTTATTTGTATAGCGCCAATTCATAACAGAAGTTTTCTCAGGACACTTTTCAAATAGAGCAGGTCTATCCGAAACTCGCTGTATAACATTATTTACAGAGACCCAAGCAGTTACCAGCCAGTGAGCAACGGACTTGGGCTACGCGGGGGCAAGGGAAAAAACTTGCCTTTAAAGGAGGGGAACCCTGAGGACAGGGAGCCCCTGGCTCGTTAGGTGGGTGCCGCTGCGGGGCGCGCGTGCGAACCAGGTTGGGGTGGAGAAGAAAGGAGAAGAGAGGAGAGGAAGAGAGAGACAGACAGACAGGTGCACAGCAACAACAAGTAGCAACCAGCACTCCACAACGTAATATTAGTGCTCGCGATGATAAAAGTATATATTTGATATTGAAGAAGTTTGAAAAAGACCGACGCAACGAAACCGATATTGTGGTGCGTGATGAAATATATGTAAATATAACTGTGTATAAAAATAATATGAAAAATAATAATAGACACATCAGGTAGTCAGTTCGATTAATTCGAGCCAGATGGCACGGTCAATCAGGACGCCTATGGCAGAGCCCTCCAGCTTTTGAGGATCCATTGGAGAACCTGGCCAAGACGAGAAAGCACAAGAACTCCGTTGAAGAAGTGAAGTTAGTAACATACATTAATGGGACATGAATGTGTGCAGAAAGAGAGAGAGAGGAAGAGAGGAGCTTAGTGCATCATGGGAAATCCCCCGATAGTCTAGACCTATAGCAGCATAACTTTTAATAGTAATCAGCAGCGGAGTTACTCCAATATAGTGTACGACCATCAGGAAGTACTAGACCTGGCAGAAAACAGCAGTTCTGGACACGTAGATGCGACCACACTGGAGCTTCTATGCAGCCTCGGACTGCTACATCCAGCGGCCTGTGATGCAACGGAGCCTCGTACCAGCGGTGTCCGCCAGCAGGAGAGACGGAGGCGGTGCGACAGGAAGCGGAAGCGGGGGTGTCGAGCGGGGCTAACAGCTAAGCTAAAAGCTAACCCGTTCAGATCGCCGCTACCCTCCGTCCTGCTCTCCAACGTTCGCTCCCTGGAGAACAAACTGGACCACCTAAAGCTGGATATGACAACCAGACAGGAAATGAGGGACTGCTGCGCCATTATTCTCACGGAGACCTGGCTGAATCCATCTGTACCAGATGACGCCGTTAGCATGGAGGGGCTAACAACATTCAGATCGGACAGAAGCAGCTCTCTCACCGGTAAATCACGGGGCGGTGGTGTTTGCATATACATCAAAAACAACTGGTGCACCAACGTAGAGGTGATGTCAAGTCACTGCTCTCCTGATGTGGAACTACTGACGGTGAAATGCAGACCTTTTTATCTACCTCGGGAATTCACTGTTATTATCATCACAGCAGTGTACATTCCCCCGAATGCAAACAACAGAGAAGCCCTGAGTGTTCTCTACCGGTCCATCAGTGACCCGCAATCCGCACATCCAGAGGGGGTTTTTATGGTGGCAGGGGACTCAGGCCAATATGAAAACTGTATTTCCTCACTTCCACCAGTATGTGAATTTTGCAACAAGAGGTGAGAATACGCTGGACCGGATCTACAGCAACATCAAAAAGTACGCGCAAGGCTGAAAGCAAGGAACGACGCTTTCAAGTCTGGTGACATGGTGGCTCTGAAAACAGCTAGAGCCAACCTGAACCGGGCCATAAGATTAGCTAAGCATGCTCATGGACAAAAAGTACAGGATTTCTTCAATGACCCCACTAACACCAGACGGATGTGGCAGGGCATCCAAGCCATTACTGACTACAAGGCCCCACCCCCTTCCTGTGAGAACAACACCAGCTTCCTCAATGAGCTAAACAAGTACTTTGGGAGGTTCGAGGAACTAAACACCACCACAGCAACAAAATCCATTCCTCGCCCAGATGAGCAGACACTCTGCCTGGACCCAGCTGATGTCCGGAGAACCCTGAGGAAGGTTAAACGCCGGAAGCAGACTGGCCCTGACAACATACCAGGAAAGGTGCTCAAGGAATGTGCTGACCAGCTGGCTGGTGTTCTCACAGACATTTTTAACATCTCACTGCACCAGGCTGTGGTACCATCCTGCTTCAAGACTGCCACGATTGTACCGGTACCCAAAAAGAACACAACCTCCTCCCTCAATGACTACCACCCAGTAGCACTCACACCTATCATGATGAAGTGCTTCGAGAGGCTGGTAAAGGACACATGGTTTCCAGACTCCCCCCAACATTTGACCCGTACCAGTTTGCTTATCAAAAACACAAGTGCGGATGCTGTTCCTGGACTTCAGCTCCGCATTCAATACCATCATACCCCAACATCTGATAAGCAAACTGGCCACCCTTGGATTCAGCACCCACCTGTGCAACTGGCTGCTTGACTTCCTCACCAACAGACCTTAGTGGTGCGGGTGGGAAAAAATGTCTCCAGTGTCATCTCCCTGAGCACCGGCTCCCCCCAGGGCTGCGTCCTGAGTCCGCTGCTGATGACCCACGACTGCTGCACCAAGTCCACTACTAACCACATCATGAAGTTTGCAGACGACATGACAGTAGTGGGCCTCATCAAGAACAACGATGAACAGGCCTACAGAGAGGAGGTGAAACATCTGGCAGACTGGTGTGGAACCAACAACCTGATCCTGAATGTCTCAAAAACAAAAGAGATGATTGTGGATTGTGTAGCGCAGCCACACTCCTCTCATCATCAACAACTCAGCAGTCAGCAGCACCAGGTTCCTGGGGGTGCAGATAACGGACACTGGCACCCTTGAAAAGAGGGCCCAGCACCGTATGCACCTTCTGCGCCGGATGAGGAGAGTGCACCTACCCGCTCCCATTCTCACCACCTTCTACAGAGGAACTATAGAGAGCATCCTGACCAACTGTATCTCAGTCTGGTCGGCGGCCTGTAGTGCCTCTGACTGGAAAACCCTACAGAGGGTGGTGAGGACAGCGGAGAAAATCATTGGGACTTCACTTCCTTCCCTCCAGGTCACTGCAAAAAACGCTGTTTGACCATGGTTTAAAATATCATCAGTGACCCCTCCCACCCC